CTGTTGGTGATTTCCATCAACTGCCTCCAGTGATGGCAGCACCAGTGTATGGGATGAGATCACACAGTCCATGTGTAGAAATTTTCGTCAGGCCCCTCTGGCGCCTCTTTCAAGTTCACAAACTGTCAATAGTTATGCGGCAAAATGAGCGAGAGTTCAAGGAGGCTCTCCGAAATTTGGCAAACGGAGAATTGTCGTCTGCCGATGAAGCAATCTTCCGCTCCCGAACGTTCCGGGAAGTTCCAGGAGCTGCACTCGCACAAAAACCCATTTACCTCTTCGCAAGAAACAGCGAAGTGGAGGAATGGAACAGCAGAGTGCTACGGGAAATGCCTGGATTTCGAGCAACCTGTGAAGCATCAGATCGAATCGCAGGCGACGGCCCGGCCAACTCCAAGCGTGCCATGTTAGCGTGCGTTGCCAGTGACCGCATAACCACGCAGCAAACGATAGGTCTGCCAAGAACACTGTATTTGAAGGTCGGTGCGCGCTACATGGTGACGTACAATTTGGATACCAGTGACGGCCTAACAAACGGCGCCACTGGACGACTGGTAAACGGGCAATCGGGGATACCACGACCGGGACAGCGCGGTGCGCCAAAGCCACTGCGTGTCTGGATGGTGTTTGACGAACCGGAGGTGGGAAGCAAAATGCGCAGGAGATATAGCGCTATCATCACGCGCATGCAATACCCACCTGATTGGATGCCCTTAGAGCCTGCAACGGTCACAATAAAACGCAGCAAGTCGTCCAACATGCAGGTGCTACGCAAACAATTTCCACTGATACCAGCGGAAGCAATAACAATCCATAAGAGCCAAGGACAGACATATTCCTGTGTCGTCGTTCATATCACACGGCGAATGACTCGGGCTCTTCTGTACGTAGCGCTGTCCAGAGTTACGTCACTTTCAGGACTATTCATAATTGGCACATTCTCCGCGCCTCGCCAGCCGCATCCAAATGATCCGTTGCGACTTGAACTGAGGCGACAGGAGCGGTGCTTACTTCAGCCCTGCTTCAAGAACGCTGCGCTGTTCAGATTGTATATCACAATATACAGAGTTTTGCAAAGCACCGCGCCCAGATAGAGAATGACGCCGTCTACACAGCAAGCGACGTCATTCTTCTGGGAAAGACCTGGACAATGCCCGCTGATGAAGTCAACATAAGCGGTTACAGGACGGTTGCACGTGTTGACTGCGCGGGATCGGCGAGAAGTGCCAGCGGAGCATGCTGCCTGGTATCGCAGCGACTGCTGCGTGAGGTCCGCGACTCAGCCTCCATAAGATTTGGAGAAAATGAGGGCCGGGTTGATGCAACTGTCTTAAAACTAGGCAGTGTGCTCATTGCAGATGCATATGCAAGCCCCGGAGTAACAGTCGGCACCATTCGGTCGTTCTTTGCGAGGTGCTCTGCGGAAGAGGGACGCAAACTAATAATGGGTGATTTCAATCACAACATTACTGAAACAGCAAATCACCATTTCAAGGAAGCGGTGGAGGAATTTGGGCTACAAATTTGGAACGTAAATGTGCCAACTACCAATGCCAGTACAACCCTTGATCTGGTTGTAAGCAATTTCAACATAATTCACGGCACATACGTTTCTCTGACCAGTTTCCATGAGCCCATCTGGGCCAGACATGACGCACAAAATGATTAAAATATGGATCTGCTCCATTACGACAGCGCCGGAACGGCAATTGCAAGCGGCAGCCAAGAACGGATTCATACGATTCATAGCGGAAGAGAACAAATATTCACTAGGGGACCACTGCACGCACCAACCACATGAAATGAAGTCATCCCAATGGCAATTTGAATTATCAACGATCAGTAGCGCAGAAGATACGCATGTGATCTAATAAATGTGATCTAATAATGATTTCTAAGGGAAAAATGCAATAAACAAAAGATACTCAATGAGATCAAGGCGAGCACAACTCATGCACTACCTTCATCCCAACCAGCGAAATGCAGTGGTAGTTGGAAATGGGGCGTGAATCAGCTGACCTCATCTCCAGAACTGAGGAAGCTAGGAAGCTGAAGTTGACATGATCACTGCGCGGGGTAGCGATGGGCCGATAATTCATCGATTCGCACAAATGATTAAGCCCCGTCTTCAGCTGAATGGTGGCATAATGTGGAATCCCCTTCTTTTTCCCCTCCCCTTCCCCCAGACCATGAGGGACGGCACTTCGAAGTTTACTGCAAAAAAGCATGATCGCACCGGCTCGCCTGGTGCGTTCCAGCCTGGGTTTGAAAATGACCCAGCTGTTCCATGAGTAATTTTCCCACCAAAAATTTAAGTACCTGTACACGAGAACCACGCGTAAATGAAGGCTGAATTTAAAAACTTTAAGTTGTATTTGGACGGGGAGTACTCTCCTAATATCTCTGCTTTTCCGTTTTCCTGGTTCCCGAGTTAGCAAACTTTCACAGGGCCGCATGTGACCTGAGCACACCTGGGGCTGGGTTTGGAACTTTTAAGTTGTATGTAAGTGTGAATATCCTTTTAAAATTTCAGCCTGGTTCACGAGTTAGCCATTTTCCCACCAAAAAAGTTTTACGGAGTCGTACGTAAGAATCGCGCATGCCTAAGGGCTGAATTTGATAAGTTTAGGTAATACATCGGCTGGGAACATCCCTTGAAAATTTCAGCCCCCCAGCTTTCCTGGTTCCCATGTTACCGATTGTCGCGCCAAAAAATTTCACGTGGCAGAACCACGTACGTGGGGGGTTGGATTTGATAGGTTTATGTTACATCTATACTGGGAACATTCTTTGAAAATTCCAGCCTCCCAGCTTTCCTGGTCCCCAACTTAGCCATTTTTGCGCTAAGAAAGTATCACAGGGTCGTACGTGAAAGCCGCGCATGCTTGGGGGCTGAATTTGATGTAAATGGGAATTGCATTCCCATTTCTCTTAAACTA